CAGCACGGACAGCACACGTAGCAAGCTACAGCACACACAGTGCAACAGACGACACAGCACGGACAGCACACGTAGCAAGCTACAGCACACACAGTGCAACAGAGGACACAGCACGGACAGCACACAGTGCAAGACAAGACACAGCACGTACAGCACACACAGTACATGCCACGTGGGTGAGCACATTGCGCATGGAACGCGGAGTACACCTGTGAGTGTCTGTGAGTACCAAAAGGGTGCGTTCCCATCTCTTCCAATCTACACACAGGCCGCGGTGTGTGGGTGCGCGATAGACAACTTCACCTGTGATTGCAAATTAGTTGAGCTTGTGCCCTTCAATATTCCTTCGCACGTTCTAAATGCTTACACGTGGAACCGGCCAAGCACCCCCAATGAAGGACCCTCCTGCAAGCAGAACGAGAAGTCTTGAGTCTCAGAAAGGATTTTCCTGGGGTGAATAGTTGGAACGTATTAATGCGGTTCATATTTATCGCTAAATCTCAACATGGCAGGAACAACTCTCAGCCAAACGCCAAATGCGATGCTTGGAGAAAAAAAACAATTACCGTCTTGGTGACGCATAACATTTCGTCAGCGCTAACTTTGCATGCAAGACGGCGACTGAGAGTAGCACTTTCATTACCACTACAAAAGAGGCTTTTCCAGGGATTGTTCACGCAATGAATTGATTGGCATTGAAATAAAGGTGACACGAATGGCAACAAAACAATAATTCCTCGTCTTGGGTCACGCCGTACCAAATGCCGCTTGAAGTTGTACCGAAAATGGAGAAAAAAACCGACAGCAGTGAAAATTTGCATTGGGATAAAGAGATCCCATCCGTGGAGCTTGCCAAAGCCATCGCTACGAGGGCACGCAGCGGATTAAGTACAGCCGGCTACACAAAGTCCCGTCGTCGTTTAATGTGTTCAGTACCACGTCGCACGAACGGGGCCCGATCGGAGGCCCAGCCATTAAGCGTAACAAACCAACGCCGCCCAGAGCTGCTTCATCCAATTAAGGGAACGTTTTTTTTTTATAAAAAAGGGCACCCGACGTGGCACATGGCCGAGGGTAAGCTGACAAGGAGTTTCACAATATTGGTATTGTAAATCGCTGTGAATTTTAATTAATAATTGTGACCCCCCCCCCCCCTCCGCCATTATAGTTCAAGTTCATGTATTAGGTATAGCCCTGTGAGCCATTCGGCTATTGAATCGGGTGCAACCGCAACAAACAAAAATCATGAACAAAAACCATCTTAAAGTGAATATGTAACGGAGTGCAAACAGAAAATCCAAGAAAAGACAGCAAAATATTGTAGAAAAAGCACCGCACACCAACGCTGTGTGCAAAAATCCCAGTGGGATGCAAGTCAAACAACCAACAACAACCAGTGTTTAGAAAAAAGAAACACTCGAACATATTTGTCGTCATCAACGTGGTCTTGAAAGAAAAAGAAACATATGGGCGAACGTTTCGGGCAACGGCCCTTGCAGTGTTATTTACGAATGTTTAACACGTAGGCTTTCACGACCAATATCCATAACATAGGTTCCTTCTATTTAAGGAACAAAATCTGGCTGGCGCCTGATGAAGCTAGTTGTAATTACTTGTGAAACGTCGTACTCCGATTGTAAATGTTGTGTATTTGCTCTCCAACACACCGGTGTGCTGTACTAGTGACGAATTGTGCATGTTCTGTTGACGTGACAACCCTTACTAGTTGGCCGTGTCAGGTGGTGGCGAGTTTAATGATTCATTTATATTTATGAGATCTGACCGGAAAAAAAACCCCTTAATAAATCATCCATCATCATGGATTATTTACGACTATTTGTTATTGTTTGTGCGATACTGCCAAGGCAGTAGCCATCAGCAATTAGTTTGTTGGAGTTTTCTTTTTTTTTAATCAACAATTTTGCTTGAACGAGGCAGCACTGGCCAAAATGTCATCGTTGAATGTTTTCCCGTTTTTCTTACTCGTGCACTAACCCCGATTTAAACCAAAAAAACGAGGCGGCCAGGTAGCTCAGAAGCCATCGTGCTGAGCTGGCACCAACGAGACCCTGGGTTTGAATCCAGGCACTGGCTTCTCAAGTGTAGCTAGTTTATGGTCTCACAGTTGGCTACGTACGGTACTAAAGAAGTCCAACATCAGTGCAAAAAACAAAACTCCCGTCACGTAAAAGTTGGTTCCGCACTTCATTTGGCGATAATCCAGCTTTGAGAATGATAGCTATCAAGTTTGATTGTCATGTGACAGTGAACGGTTGAACTGATTTGTCATCTTGTGACGTGACACCGATGGCACGAGAGGGATAACATTGTGTAAAGGTACCACGAAATTATCTGAAAATGTGAAACACAATGCAGGGCAAAGTAAGCAGCAGCAGAGTAACCATGCAGATAGAGCACGAACATCAAAACTCACTCTCCATAATCTGGGGGCACATGCAAACTTGGAAAAACGCACACGAGACAGGGACAATCCCCCCCACCCCCGGTGCAATACGCCAATTAATCTTCTGCTGTTCAGAGACGTACGCCACCGTCGTGTACAATCACACGCCAAATAAAAAAAATGCGCGGAATATTGTGCCGGCAAAATGGCCCCGATTAATTTTCTGGCGCGTGAACTCCCACCAAGTGTCGAGCCGCGACCAACAGCTGTGGTTAAAAACACGGCAACTCTTCAACGCAGCGGTTCTCAACATATCTCCCTAAGGTGTCTCCCCCCGCGACCAATCAAGACTACCGCCAACCCTCAGCTGGCTCCCATGCCACTGAAGACTATCTATTGTAAAGTCGCGTAGAATGGAAATAATAAAATAATACAAATAAAACAATAAAATCATTCTCACGACGTTTCGGCCACAACGCAAGCAGCCGTCCTCAGTTGAAGAACAGGTCTGTCGAGAAGACAGAGTCATTCAGACTCTGTCTTCTCTAAAAACCTGTTCTTCACCTGAGGACGTAATTGAGACTCTGTCTTATCGACAGACCTGTTCTTCACCTGAGGACGGCTGCTTGCGTTGTGGCCGAAACGTCGTGAGAATTATTTTCTTATGTTTTATTTGTATTATTTTATTATTTCCATTCTACCTGACTTTACCGAAAGAACCAAGAAGATGAATCCCTGCAGTCACGAAAGCTTTGAATCGAAAATTCAACTATCTACTGTATTAGTATACATGAGTGGACATGTGGAGTGGAAGACGGTAGCTTTCACGTGGCCCACCTCCCTGTTAAGTGACATACCACGACCGATGCCATCGGCAACCCGGCAACCAAACATCGATCCAAGATCTTCCTCGAGAGTGACAAGTGAAGCCACCACAACGGTGCTCCTCTCTCCGGGGCCAAACAACCACGCTCTCAAATCGGACCTGGGACAAGGATCCTTCCCAACACAACGGCGAGGGAGATTCCCGGGCCAAGCACAGGTGTCTCACGGAAGATGCACAACATTGGTGTCATAATTGTTTTTTTACCCTTCTATCTGGCAACAAAACTGACACCTTTTTTTTACGAGGAGTCATGTTTGCATAGACCACAATACCTGCAGTCATAATGCAAAAAAAAACATAACTCTGATTATGTATGCACTGTCCTTGAAGTTGATTGGTCCACACCCGAGACAGCTTTCCTTAGAGCCTTGTCTCACATGGGTTGGACCAGATGACGAATCAACTTCAAGGACAGTGCATACATTATCAGAGTTATATTTTTTGTTTGCATTATGGCTGCAGGTATTGTGGTCTATGCAAACATGACTCCTTGTAAAAAAAGGATGTCAGTTTTGTTGCCAGATAGAAGGGTAAAAAACCAATTCTCATATTTTTTACTGGCAAATGAGGTTCCAATGGTGTAAACATTGGCGTCCTCGCGATCCAAGAATCGCTGAGGTTTGCCGGTTCATTCTCCCGACACGGCAGATGAAACAACGGTGCGAGTTTCTGACAAATCTGTCCACCCAGCAGCACGCGAGTTATTTTTATCAGAAGGTTGTGTGTGTGACGGGGCAAAGCGCGGCTAATCCCATATCTTCAAAGATGTCTGACCAGCGTGGTGGAGTTTGTCAAAAATACCCTTTTACAGGGGCTCTCTAGTACCCCCTGTAGTGGAGGCCCGTCAGTGAGAAGTGGCATAGAAAAATAAATTGCAGCTCTGAACCTTTATCTTTTTCATGTCTATGTGGTGGTGGTGGTAGCGGTGTTAGAATATGCCCGTGTAACCATCGTCAACATCGGTGACAAATGATGTCTGAACCTGTCCTGGGCCGTCCCATTCGCCACCAACCCACACTGGCCTGCAGAAATCGATGGCTTGGCTGGACCATTTCACGATTAGCTTTAAAAACTGTCTGCCAACAGCTCAAATAAGTTGGGTCAACAATAACTTCTACTTCTATTAACTTTACCAGGTAAGGCCCGCTGAGCTGTACAGCTATTTTTCAGAAGCAACCTGGCCACAAATGATAGCTCAACGAAGTGGCTTATCGCATGGAAATTTATAGCAGCCAAATGCTCTAAACGCGTGCCGATTCTAAATGTGGAAGGAAAAACCGGAGGACCCGGAAAAGAATCCACCTCGACCACGGGGAGCAGACGCAAACTCTCAATATACAGGCGTCAGGGTCGGGGTTTAACCCATGACCTCCTGTATACCAGGCGAGGTAGCTAACATCTCGCCGCCGCGGCACGGTACACCCACTCGCTACACACAGAGATGCGACGCGTCGTGCGTTGTTGCACGTGGGCACCGGAAAGGGGCAGAGACAGAGAGACAGAGAGACACAGAGAGACACAGAGAGACACAGACACACAGAGAGACAGAAAGACAGAGACACAGAGAGACACAGAGAGACACAGAGAGACACAGAGACACAAAGACACAGAGAGAGACAGAGACACAGAGAGACAGAGACACACAGAGACACAGAGACACAGAGCAGACATCCCCGTGGGCAGCGCTGCTCAGCACGGCACGCCACTCACCCCAGCTGAGCGGCGTGCGGTGGAGGTGCGCCAGCAGGGCTCGGCAGAGCGGCGCGGCGGGGACGAGCGAGCCGTGGCGGCACACCGGCGGCGGGGAACACTGCGGCAGTTAAGGGCGACCCTGCAGCAGCGTGACCTCTCGTCACTCAAAGTGGGGGGCATCATTACAGCGTTTAGGGGGCGCCACGACACAGTCAATGTGGAACAAACGTTAAACAAAGGCAACAAAACTGACACCTTTTTTTACAAGGAGTCATGTTTGCATAGACCACAATACCTGCAGTCATAATGCAAACAAAAAACATAACTCTGATAATGTATGCACTGTCCGTGAAGTTGATTGGTCCACACCCGAGACAGCTTTCCTTAGAGCCTAGTCTCACATGGGTTGGACCAGAAGGCGTCATCTGGCCAGATAGAAGGGTAAAAAAACTATTATATTTTTTACTGGCAAATGAGGTTCCAATGGCGTTAAACAAAGGTTAAACGCGAAACAGGACGCGTGACGACACGATCTGGCCAAGTCTTTTGCGCTCTGGCTCTCATCCCCCGTGTGCATATGAGAATATGATTCGACTGCCGTCGCTTAATTTCCACTGGTGTCGACATTTGTGTAAACTCTTGACAAATGAGACTTTAGGAAGAGGGGGCTGAGCATGCAGCAGGGGGACTGTTGGAAGACGTTGGGCACTCGTGCGTCAGCGTTTGTGGCTCCTACCGTGTGGAACTCTCTACACCCTCGGCGTATTAGCGAGAGGGACGTCGGGAGCATTGACCGAGTGGCAGTCAAGGAGCGTGACACATCCGGGAGTAAGCCTCCCCTAGGAGATGGAGTAACGAAATCGGCGTCCTGTGCAGGTGCTTGAGGTGGATCATTGCATCAGGAAAATCGTGAGAGGTGGCAGCGGCTTGGGGAGAGGGGGGCCTCCATCCAACAGGGGATGGATTGAGCATGGCTGATGATGGCGATGATTGTATAATTGGTATCATTGTCGTCATCGACGTCGCACAATGGCGAGGCACGAGGATTGTACCGTGACCGAGTTTCCGTGGGCAGATTCGCCCCGCACTTTCAAATTTCAAAGTTCATTTATTAGGTATAGCCCTGTGAGCCATTCGGCCTTTGAATCGGGTGCAACCGCAACAAACAAAAAACATGAACAAGAAAACATCTTAAAGTGACTATGTGCAAACAGAAAATCCAAGAAAAGGCAGCAAAATATTGCAAATATTAAACTGAACCAGCGTCCGTTGTGATAGCCTGGAGTCTCGCACTGTTCGAAGGGCACGAATGCCAACCGCACATTTAATTTGATTTGACTGTGGATAATGAGCCCCGCACTATCAGTGAAGCGGCCCGACTAAGCCACGGTGAGTGAAACGGTTAAGCAAACGTGCAGGGGTGGGGGGGGGGGGCAAGGAATATCGATCATAAACGATCTCTCTTGCACGTTTCGTATGGGTCTCTCTCTCTGCCGCTCTCTCTCTCTCTCCTCCCCAACGAGCCGGGAGTTACGGCACAAACATCGATCAAGCCGCAGCCGCCGCTGCAGCAGCAGCAGTTGTAGCCGCTGTTAAATGAACCCTCCGCACCGTCAGGCACTAACACCACGGATATAGATAAACGTCGTCTCTTAACTCTGTCGCCTCGCGTGACTCTGAATGGAAATGTGATGGGCAGGGCTTGGAGACGTCATTGGCATAATCAACCGTGTCACTCTGGGCATGGCTTTTAGGGAGGGGGGTGGGGGTTTCCCACCTTCAGGAGGCAGGAGGTGGGGACGGCCGCCGATTTTGAAAGGCGCCCTCGAGCTAATGGACCACGAAAGAGCAGTCGATTACAATTTCTGTACAATCGGCTTAACCGACTAATGATCCACAGCTCGAATCGGAACCCTCGTCCCTGTTCACGTGGACAAGGTTGTCCCTGCCGTGAGATGAGCCCACTTTGGCAGACCTAGCAGGGAGAGAGACTGTCCTGGCCCAAACATTCCACGAATTTCGCTCGTGACCTCGATCATAAAATTCCTACCCCCGCCCCCATTGCACATTGAAGCTGCTGGCCATTAAGTGGCGTCATGGGTGCAGCGAGCTATCAAACTCTGGTGTGTGTATTCACCCTCCTCGCTGTGGAGCGGGAGCACTGCTGCTGCACCCCATGCTTCCCTTCAGGGTAAATGCTCCATTAGTTAAAGCGGCCTTTCTGTTACGGAGCTATCTCCCCCCCCCCCTACCTCCCCGATGCACTCTGGGCACTGCACTCGCCCTATTTATGCGATAAAGCCACCAAACGACATTGCAAACAATTAAGTTGTCAACCACTTCGGGCCATTTCCCCCCCCCCCCCTACTTAAAAAAAGAAAGAAATAGATGATCACAGAGCTTGGGAAATTGCTGGTGAGAGTGAACAAAAACTGTGCGCGTAAAACTAAATCCAAGTGATACATCTTCAAATGCTGCTTGTGAAGGACAGATTTGCTTTTACACACACACACGAACGTCCTTGCAGCAATTTACCAAGTCAACACCGGACACAGGTGTCACGTGGGCGATATTTAATACGCGGGAGCTCCCAGTAGCCCTCCTTTGCCGCGAGCCAGCACTGATCTTCCTCCCCGAAATGAACACGAAACGTGCTGACCGACGGGCAAGTCAACAAAATCACGAACGACAAATAGCACGGAGCCCTCGTGCTCGACGCAAAAACAAACGTCTGTGCGCGCGGAGAAGAAAAAAAAACCCGAAGCGTTCGTGCGAGCCCATCTTTTGCATCGCGCGAATTGCTTCCCGCGCGCATGCGGGCAGGCGGGGAGCGGCTGATGATGCACAAGTAAACAATGTATGTAATGAGGGCAAATAAACAATGTTGTGTGCAGTTAACGTCCATATAGAATAATAGGGTTAAGCCCTATATCTCCCCACCCCTCCCCCAACATATGTATCGGTTATCCATACGGCAATGATTTCCCCAAACGGAACAATTCACTTTGCAAAACCAACTCGGTTTAGTGACGTTGTGTCCGCAACACCTGGGCTTCTGTACACTCGTAAAAGACAAAGATTCCCCCCCGCCCACCCCTCCCATATAGTCTGCGACAGGCTTTAGGGGCAAATGCTGTTAGCTAGAACCTATGAAGGCTAGCACGATATGGGACGGGGGGGGGGTAGTGGGGGATGGCCAACACCACTTCCAGCCGCCTGATGTTTACACATCGCACCGGGTACTCGTTTTTTGGCCGAGTCGACCTAGGAGAGGCCCAGGACCGGCTTAAAATGTGCGCATATGCAGGGATTCCGAAACGCTTTCAAGCGTTCGTTTAGTCTTCAGAAAAATTGAATTCGCGGTATGAAGGCTGACTGGCAGCTGTTTGCAAATTATTATTTTTCTCTCTCTCTCTATGGTTTGTGTCTCCTAAGTTCGGGCAAACCTCTTGATCAACCTGTGCCACATTATATTGCAATCTATTACAGCCTCTCTGATTGCAGCCTCTCAGATGCATTTTGAGGTGGCGATGCGTCACGTTCTTCGGCGCGGTGTCCAAAGTTTAACTCCACAGGGTGGGGAGAGCTTCTCCTTTGAATTCAATTCCCGAACAAGCTCCCAGCAGCAGCGTGGTAGCGAAACGTCGGACATCGTGCCGAACAGCACGCGGTTACAATCATGAAGCAAGTGGGGGAGATCTACACAGCAGCAACTGCGAACAACTACCGAGCGTTATACTGTACATGCTGTAACGCCGCATGTTGTTTTCATAACGCAAATTGGATATAACGCGATGAAAGTATTAAGGGAAAGCATTTTTTACAACGCGGATGCGCATTGGACATAACGCGATTGAGTGAACGTAACTACGCCGCCCGAGTAGGAATAAGCGGTTGTACCGGCTGCTTCGGCATGGCAACGCACAAGGCGGGATGCTGCTGGATGCTTCTAGATGCTTCTAGATGCTACCTACGCGTCTCAGTTTTTGTTCAGACCTGCGTACGCACATCTCACGCATTATTGCGCACTCTGCTTTACCATACATTATTTATTATAACGCGATTTTTCCCACAACGCGGTGTTGTTCAGGAACGGAACTACCACCGCGTTATAGGCGAACAGACTCTCTATATATATACCGCACATGGAAATGTGAAGGATACGAAACGCCAGTGAATCCTGAGTAGGTCTCTCAGCTGGGGCGGTTCCAGCTCCCGCGGCGCAGGGCTTGTCCACTGGTCAGGAGTGAGCCCCCTTCCCTCGGTGGCAGCTTTCTCCTCCGCCTCCTCCCGCCCGGAGCTGCATCCTCGGAAAATCTTCTCCAGGTCGACGCAAACCCTGGGGAAGAGAAATGCGAGGGAATGTGACGTAAATTAATGCCACGGTGCTTTGCTACCCCGCTGTGTCGTTTTACTTGCTTCATTATTTTGCTGACACGTTATTTTTTTTTGATTATTTTCCCAGGAAGACCACACCGAGTGGGAGGGCAACAATCATGGTTACCTTTTAAGACCACAATTGAGCAATACGTGGTGTAGTTTGTCAAAGTTGAACCGTGACGCGCCAGTACACGATGGCCTACTCTTGCGAATAAGGTCATGGGGGGATCCGTGACATCCACTGTGAAGCAGACGGGTGCGTATTTTATGTTTGGTTGACAGCTACGTTACCGAGTGTTAACATCTCCAGCGTTTAACAGTACTGCTTTCTTTTATTTTGATTATCAGCTAACACCGGCCACAACCCCGAGTCGATGTGCACCATTGTTCTCTTTTAGCCCCCCCCGCCCCACCGTTCCATTCCCTGGATATCCCATTCAGATAAGCCCCTCCCCCCCTCCCCCTTAACTTGTATTTAAGAGCTTGTCTCTTGGATTTTTACTCACTTGATACAGTAAATTTAGCTGTGACGGTCCCACCTGATGACGGAGACTTGTGTTGCCTCCGAAATGTCGTGATTATTTTATTTATATTATTATAATTTTTTTACCCATGTGACTTTACCGAAAAAACCTAAGAGTATGAATCCTTGCAGTCACGAAAGCTTCAAATCTAGAATCAATACACCCAAAGTATTAACCAGGGCATGCAGCTGCTGGAAACGAACGCGCTACCTCTGGGCCGCATTACCGCACCCGCTGAGCGATCTCACTCGTAACGCCCTGCGCCCTCTAACCCACCAAAGACCCCGTGCCGAGGCTATGAGCATGCTGTGGCTTTTGCGTTGTTGAGACTGGCAAATCGTTGATTGACGTCCGGTTGCCGGGTTGATGATTGCATTGGTCGTGCTTTCTCGCCGAACAAGAGTGGGCCCGTGTGAAGGCTGCCAGCTCTCCCCACCGCGGTCACCACTCGGGTCAGACCGTGGAACACACAACGACTCAATGCCCGATTCACAAAATAAGAGGGGGGCGTCATCACGGCGATGATTCTACTCCTGACGCAAACGTTTGGCCCAACGGCCTCATTGTAAATCGTAGCTGTTGCTTTGTATCATTGGTTCTTAACCGTCACTGCAGCCTTGCATCCCTTGGGTTCTCAATCGTAAAAAAAATAGAATGTTACGAAATACATTGGCTTGATGAAACAAAGTAGTTGTACTTACGTACCCGTGCTTAATTTGTGTTTCGATGATTTACCTTCGAAAAAAATCTGGCACGTCTCGCACCCCCAGAGAGGGCATCTTGCACGTCCAGCAGGTGCGTGCACCCCAGGTTAAGAGAACCCACTTCTCTACATCAATGTTAACCATACGCAGAAGATGAGCATGGAATGTTTGCAATTAAAATATCTTGTAGAAGATAACGGCGGTGTAAAATCTTGTTTAAACGCTCTCATCATTAAAATACAGGATGAACATTCAGGTAGTATCCAACATTAGATTGTTATTATTAGACACCGGGTAGAAGTTGTGGCACGGTGGTTAGCACACTGCGCTATGCATCCGGAAACCTCAAACAAGATCCAGGCCATGGTTAACATCGGTGGCGAGTGACATCTGAACTGGTGAAGTATGGGCAAACGATAACCATGACCAAAATGTGTGGGGATTCTTTCAGTGGATTGATAAAGGGCGGCCTGCAATACCAAGGTCGATAAGAAATGACAGAGACAAATATCACCCTTGTAACCTACACACACTGTTGGGGCAAGTGCTGTTAGCGAGCATCTATTAAGGCCGCCACGATACACGATGGGGCGGTGTGACTAGCAATACACACGGCTGCCTTTGTCTCCCCAGTGGTGATGTTTACACACCACATGAGGTGCTAATTTAGGGCCGAGTCGACCTAGGGGATGTCTTGGACCAGTTCAGATATTCGTCACCGATGTTGGTGGCCGTGAGCGGGAATCAATCTCGGGTCAACAGGTTCGTAGTGCAGCGCCGCAAACCGCTACACCACCGCTCCGCGCAGAGACGCAGCATGAATATTTTATCGCATGAGTTTCATTCTTCAGAACCCCCACGTGTCTGCCATGGTGTTGGTGACAGACACCCCGCATTGAGATTTGAGAGTCCCAGGTGCTCGCCAAAATCTGCAATTGTCTCGAATGCTCCCGGTGTGTGCTGCTGAAAATCACCGAAGCTCTTTAAGTGTTTTGGCAAACACCTTAGCTTTTGTCAAACATCCAGCATTCAAGCATGCCCGTTTCAAACCGCTGCATAATTAGAATTCTTTAAAGTTTGACCAAAGGGAGAGAGCAGCGGGGCGCAGCGAATCGGGAGCTGCGCTGGAACCCTGATGACCCCGGTTCGACGCCCAGTCACGGCTAACATCAGTGATGAGAGATATTTGAATAAGTCCTGGGCGCCCATTCCTCTTCATCTTCATCCACAGCCCTCATGACTGACACACCACATGGGGATGCCTTCATCCTTCGATTGACTAAGGCAGTGGTTCTTAACCGTTACTGCAGCCTTGCACCCCTTTGGTTCTCAATCGTAAACAAATGCATCATCTTAATAAATACACAGGTTTGATGAAACCAAGTAGTTGTACTTATGTGCCCATGCTTAATTTGTGTTTTCGATTATTTACCTTTGAAAAAATCTGGCCATCTCTGGCACTCCCAGAAAGGGCATCTCGCAGCCCCAGCGGGTGCAGCGTGCACCCCCCCAGGTTAAGACCAGAAGACTTTCAGACGCTGTCTTCTCGACAGACCTGTTTCTTCACATGAGGACGGCTACTTGCGTTGTGGCCGAAACGTCGTGAGAATTATTTTATTATGTTTTATTTAATTATTATTTTATTTTCCTCCTACAGTGACTTTACCGAAAGAACCAAGAAGATGAATCCCTTGCAGTCACGAAAGCTTTAAATCGAAATGGGGACTAGGTTTTTTAGAAGTTCGACGGCGTTGGCTGTGAGCCCACGAACTGCAACGGTGTCGCGGGGTTCGATGGGCAGAAGCAGCAGCAGCAGTTGATGTATTTTGCTCCATCGTGGTTGTATGGAACCTCTGCACCACACGAGAACGGGCAGCACTTTGCTACCCACCCTACTGCACGGGGCGATGCTCGCCGCACGCGAACCAAAACCGACACGTCATTGTCGGAGCTGCAATTTAACCAATTTATAAACGATTTAAATGTAATTTAACATGGTTTTTTTTGTGTGTGTAGTAATTGGTGACCGCGCTGAGACCATCAACTAACTACACTTAACAACCTTGGCTATTGACACTCGGATTCGAACCCGGGATATATCAGCACTGTCGGAGCAGCGCTCTGACCTCCAAATCGCTCGGCCACCGCGACCTCTTTGATGTTTTCTTCTTTTGTCATCACCTTCGCGTGCACACTCCGCACCCCTCCGGTTAGAGCGCTTCGCTATGGCTTTAGGGAAACCCAGGCTTACCGGCCAGCCTTACCTGCCAGGGACACGAGGGATTTTGAAACGAACACACGGGGCTTGGGAACAGCGAAACACGCTGTTCTCCGTCGCGTCTCGCGCACAAAAAAGACGCCCACCGCCTCTCTCCTTTCATCCCGGGACAAACATCGCCAATTAATTATTCATGCTCCGTTAAATATCGGTGCAACTTTTTGCGCCATTGTGCTGCTCGGAACTTCTGACGTAACTCGGAGTAAAACTTTACAGATGTACCGACTGTGTTGTGAAGTGGTGGCGCCGTAGCCAGCACGCATCGCGATGAGCACAACACGCAGAGTTCAATTCCCTGCCTTGGCTAAGATCAGCGGTGAGTGAGAGCGAGTGATGTCCGGGCCCCCCACTCCCTGCCCTTGGCTCACCCGGCCCAACGCCGCCAATGCTCGCAGGCCTGTCCCACGGCTTCCACTTCATCTTCTTGGTTCTTTCGGTAAAGTCACGTAGAATGGAAATAATAAAACAATAAGAATAAAACATAATACAAATAAAACATAATACAAATTAAACATAAAATGTTGTATTCACGTAGAATGGAAATAATAAAATAATAAAAATAAAACGTTATAAAAATAAAACATAATAAAAATAAAACATAATGTTTTATTCACGTAGAATGGAAATAATAAAATAATGAAAATAAAACATAAAAATAAAACATAATATGTTTTATTTTTATTATTTTATTATTTCCATTCTACGTGACTTTACCGAAAGAACCAAGAAGATGAATCCCTGCAGTCACGAAAGCTTTAAATTGAGAGGCTTCCACTTCGTTTCGAGACACGCGGCCCCCTGAGCACGCGAGCCGACGAGCGATCCCAGAATGCTAGGCGCGTCGGAGGCAATCCGCGAAAACGAACGTGGGTTATCGAAGACACCGCGACACTGTTAACGTTTCTTTACTCTAAATTCGCACGTGCGAGGATGGAGGATCATGCTAATGTGCCCGTCAGTCACAGTAAACAATGACGTTCAGATCTTCTGGGGAAGAATATAATCTCTATTCTAACAACAACAACAACAAAACACCTCGGATTCCATTCTGCTCCTCGCATTGCATTGCATTTACTTTATTGGCTAACTAATTTTGCTTCGCGTATTGCGTACATTTTTTGTTCGCATGTTGCAAGGCAGGCAAGCTCTGTGGAAGCTTGTACAGCTCCCTGCAGTATTGTTACCGATGCAACTTGCTCGCATCATCCGAGCAAAGAGAAATGGGCTTCATTAACTTAGTACCTATGATTTAACATTTTTGGGTTAGGCCACATCGTTCACCACCGTATGTCTAGCACTGCCACTGCAACGTATCTAATTTGCTAAAGTTCGGGTTGATAATTGTTCTAGAACTTACCGGTGAGCTTAAACGATAATAGTAGGCGCGTTAAACGCTTGGGCGCAACACGACAACTTAATAGGCCGGTCTGTATCAGGGCGTGGAGGGTTAGAAACGTAAACTCCAAGTGAATTCCTGCTCAAATCAACATTGAGGCGGTGCTCATCCCCTCTCTACTGCCCTAAGCCAGCGGTGGAAAATCCACATTTCTATGGCAGGGGCGAGTCTATCCATAGGACAACTGTTGACTTCCCAGAAGGTCGACAGGTTGAAGAGTAGGCCAAGTTCCCCCTAGAGCGGCTCTCTCGAGCTCCACCACTAAGCCAGGGTGGCTTCGATTTCTTGTGGTAGAATTTTAATTTCGCCGTCACCCTGGTTGAAAATGTGACTTGGTTTATATATCATCTCGTGAGCGGGGCTCGTCCGATCTCGACCCATCCTCTGCTGTCGTTTTACTTTGCCGAGAGATGGAACTCGATCATGCGGGGAAGGGGGGGGGGGGTAATGAACACGGAGAAACCAAGTGAAAAAATAAGTGAAAAAGTTGAACGGCGCTAGGGTGGAGCATCCATATTAGATGTTGTTGCCACATTGAAGATGGCATTTTAGGAAATGTTTGAATGCAAAATTTTTCCTGGCACCTCTAAAATTGACTGGCAACGCTTCGCACATGGTCCGAGTCTCAGCCTATGCCGTGTCAAGGCAATGACACAAAGTGAAATTGAAAATTTAAATTAAACTGTAAAATAATCAAATTTTTTTGCCTTGTCAATCCGCTTCTTGTCAAATGCCACCCCCTCCCGGCCCCCTCCCCCATCAATCCACGCAGTGTGTGGGCGCATGGGCGTTACATGACCATACTTCACCAAGTTCGTCAGTGTGGGTTTGTGAAGCGTGGGGGAAATTGTTCAGGAATCGTTCAGATATTGCTCCGGTCATCAGATTTGCAGCGACAATAAACTATCCTATAACCTCATTCGAAATCTATTTGTAATCAGGTTTATATTGTAATATACGCCAAAGTGAGATAATATAGTTGGAAGAAAAAATAACACACGGCTAATTTAATACAAACATTTACTTTTAAAATGTTTGCTTCAAAACATTACCATTTTATCTGCATCGAGGTTGAACTGGCATGCTGTTTGCCAAAAAAAATCTTATTTTATCTAATTTTTATAAATTTGATGGACCACTAGCCATGACGACTCACACTGGCTGCAAGCCACACGTATCGAAATAATTAAGCAGCCAGTAGCAGCGTTTCAAAAGAGTGTAAGATTGGCCAGGAGCTCAACGAAGGGCGGAAATGTAATAATGAACCGGCTGCAATTCGGGTAACGTGTTGCTCTTAAGCGTGGGGCACGCTTTTTCGAGAACGATTCCTCCGCCCCCCCTCCCCCCACAATAGAGCAATCGCAAAAGTGCGCTGCAGCGCCGCCACCACTCAGAGAAATTGACGAATGCACCTCCGCGGATTATTTTCTAAGGAATAATTTGTATCGCCACATCAAAGGTGCAACTCCGCTCTTGGCAGCACGACACGCCCACCCCCCGCACTGACTCAGCTCTTGCTCGCGCATTGACAGCGCTGCTCTCCACGCTCTCCTCTCGCGTGTAAAGGCTTAAGAGGCTTTCGCATCTCAAACACGACGCGCCATCAATGCCAGCCAGCCACTTCACGCTCCCACGCCGACGGAGATGCCCACGAACACCTCGAGGCGCGCGGTGGGGGGCGACGAATCGACCCGAGGGGTCTGCGATAGATGCCCGTGAGTTGGTGGGCACTGGGTGGCAGAGGTCGCAACCGGGTACCCGATACCCGTACCCTACCCGATACCCGGCTACCCGTACCCGGCTGGGTACGGGTAACCGTTTGCGACCCTGGTGCGGCCGGGTACGGGTAGGCCGTGAGTCACTGGTGAGTAACTGTTTGTCACTCATTTCGGGTAGGGTACGGGTAGGGAACGGGTACCCGTACCCGGCCGGGTACGGGTAGCTGTTTGCGACCCTGGTGCGGCCGGGTACGGGTAAGGAATCAAAACCCGTTTGCGACCTCTGCTGGGTGGTGCTGGTTGGGGGTGATGGTGGTGGGGATTGGTGATGGTGGTGGTGGTTGGGGGTGATGGTGGTGCTGGGGATTGGTGATGGTGGTGGTGGTGGTGCTGGTTGGGGGTGATGGTGGTGGGGATTGGTGATGGTGGTGGGGATTGGTGATGGTGGTGGTGGTGCTGGGGATTGGTGTTGGGCAGCGCCGTAGCACCAGGGGAGATCGATGACAGAGGGGAGGGCCCCGAGGCCTTTCGGTAGGAAGGGCTCAGTGCCGCCCTTCCGAATTGTTCAAGTCGAATGTTGGTACAGAAATTTGACACCGGTGGCGGGTTTCTCCTTCGAAGTTCGCCAGTTCAGTCCGTGCGTGTCCGCTGCAGATAAGGCGATCGGCAAACACCGAGATGCTCGCCTGTACGATTTTGTTGGAAGTATGTTTGAACTTTGACTGCGTCGTGCCCCCTGCCCCCCCACCCCCCACCTGAGTTTCATATAACCCTCCCTGCCATTGAAATATGTCTATAACCTCAGCACATTTGTCAATAACACTGGGGGCCTTCAAGGAAAACAATACAACATTTCTTGCAATGGCCCTTTACTTCATAGCACCCCTTTAAACAAGGTCACGCCACAGGGCTGTGATAGATTTGGGAGGCTTTTCCTTACGGAGGGCCGAAGGAAACTTCCAATTACCTTTGCTTGGGCGCCAGCCATTAACGTATGTATGCACGTTGAACTTCTGTCGCACCGTACGTAGCCAACCGTGATAATCGGAGGTGCGGGAGGAAGGACAACAAACTAAACACGCATTAGCCAGGAATCCTTCCTTAGTTCTCAGCGCAATGGCATCTGGGCCAAATAGACCCAGCTCAAGTCAAACCCCGGATGTCACTCGCCAGCGATGCGAGCTGTTGGTCGCGTCGGGAATCGAACTCAGGTCGCCGGATTCACGGTGCGGTAGGGGGAGACCACGGCGCCTCCGCTAGCTACCCCAGCCTTTGATGTTCAAAAGCTTACCTGTTTTTTTAAATTTTCCTAAGCAATTAAAATGTCTATATTTACTCATAAGTAGTTTCAATCGTAGGTGAATTTCGATGTTAAGCTTTCGTGACTGCAGGGATTCATCTTCTTGGTTCTTTCGGTAAAGTTACGTAGAAGGGAAATTATAAAATAATAAAAATAAAACATAATAGAATCATTCTCACTATTATTTTATAATGTAAAATTTTTTTTATTTTATTATTTCCCTACTACGTGACTTTACCGAAAGAACCAAGAAGATCATAGGTGAAGTTGTTTTTTTTAGGAATACATTTCTCTCCGAGTATCGTATAACAAAGCGCACATGAAAAACAAATCAGCAGGTGACTGATGAGAACTGATTAATTGAGTGCTCATTAGTGAAATGATATGTTCTTATCGTTTGGGAAAACGCAAATTAGAACGAACAATAGTCTATTTAGTTTTGTTCCTTATTATCAAGGGAATTAAATCAAAATGACAAACACCAGCAGGCTGTGCTTGCTTTATTACATTACACCAACTAGCCGAGTCAGTAAAAATGTGTCCTTTGGAAACAAAAGACGAGTGAGAAATGTCAGGAAGCGGATAGCCACACAACCATCACACTGCTTCCTCAAGTTTCCCAACCATTAACGATGGGACGATGGGGACGATGAGTCCGTTGAGTCGATTAATTGATTCTAGATTTGAAGCTTTCGTGACTGCAAGGACTCTTAGGTTTTTTCGGTAAAGTCACGTGACTTTACCGAAAAAACCTAAGAGTCGATTTATTGAGTCAAGATTGTAATCGACTACATTTTCGCACTCGATTACATGGGCCACTCTAAATACGGTGGCTGCCACTCACATACTGCCTCCCCGAAGGCACGAAAACCCCCATAACAAGCCATGCCCAGCCTGACGGCGGCGGCCGCGATGGCGTCACTCAAGTCCCGTGCCCATCACCTCCCGTCCAGCGGCACGTGCGGAAACAGATTTGAGACTATTTTTTTCCGCAACTATTTTTTTTCTATCTGATGAGTCGCGCTGCGGAACCGAAAGTCGGATGGTTGGTGCAGTGATTATTTATATGAATCAGATAGTCCAGCTTAATTCGCATCATAGAACTGTATGTTTGATGAGTTTATCATAAGAAGCTTCAGCATGGATACTCGCGGTAAACATTCATTCATGTTTCCATCGCTGTAAAAAGCATCCTGTTAAATCTTCGAGATGATTGAGAACGATTCTACAGACCAACGACGAGTGTGTCTGAGAAGTGAGAATTCGAGGATGGCTTTTAAAGTGCTTGGCCATTTGCAGCTTCTACATCAATATTTAAATCCAAATTGTAGCATCATCATAATTACTTATTCATGGTATAATGATGCCGATATTAAAACCAATTCTTATGTTTCCACTATAGACATGGACTCATGCGAGTGATAATTAATAATTTGATTCGTGTGGCGTTGCATGTCATTGGCTCACGTGACATACTGTAGCATCGCATCACCACAAGCCAAAGTGAGAAAGTGAGTGGCTCGATTCGTTTCCTGAAGAAGTTCCCAGCACGTGGAGCGAAAAGTTGGACGTCATGCTGAAGAACACGTGGTTCACATTGTGATATAGTACAACGCGTTCTCCCCTGGTGAGAGAGTGTGTGTGTACGTGTGCTGTACTCTATAGCGATAGTGTAGCGCGCTTGCACTATGAACCCGGCGACACGAGTTCGATTCCCGCTCACGGCGAACACCAGTGACGATTATCTGAACCGGTCCCGCGCCTCCCCTAGGTCGACTCAGCCTCAAATGAGTACCTGGTGAGGTGTGTAAACATCGCCACTAGGGAGACAAAGGCGGTCGGGCGTGGTGCTGGTCACCCACCCCCTCGTGTACCGTTCCGGCCTTCATAGGTGCTCGCTAACAGCACTTGCCCCTACAGTCTGTTAAGGCTATATGGGGGATCTTTGTCTTTGTACTCTATAGCACGCGGTGCTTGGGCACTCACCTGCTTGGTCCTTTCTCAGGGAGCAGATTCCAGGTGACAGCATCAAGGCTGACCTCCACCTGGGATTGGGTGAGGTTCACCACGTCCACCAGCAGTCTGCTCCGTCTCCCACTGGACGTCACCGAGGGCGCACGGAAGAAGAGTGGGTGTCAGTGCGGTCCTCGCAGCAGCACGCTCAGACAGTGCTCCAACCTCATAGCATCAGCAGGGGGGGGGGGTTTGATGGGAGTGGGGCTTTCCCCAATCTCACCTGCTGAAGGATCAGCACTCCCCCGCCCCCCGCCTCCCCCCCCCCCCACCACTTCTATACTCTTATGGTCAAGTTACAAAAAATTGTTGTAGAATATCTCTTCAATGTTCACCAGTGGCTTTCGAAGGGTAACATTTCCAGTGCTCAGATCCTCTTCTTCGTCGTGTCTCCTGTCTACAGCGATAATACACTTAGCGGTGGGAGACTTCTTGCAAGCGGTACCGTGGACAGCTCCTGCTGAATATGTAAAAGAGGACCAGGGCCCTGCCAAGATGTAAATGCAACACTACCTTTGATTGTCTTCCCAAGTGCATCAATAGATGCTGCCCACAACTCACAGCTTTCATCCCATTATCTCCCAACTCCCTTTTTTCTACAGGGGAAATAAAACACACTGCCACCACTTGCTGACTTGTTGGCAAACTCTGCTCATAAATCTGTGCTGGCATGAGATGGCAGAAACTATGATGGACAGTTGTGACTCTGGATGCAAGACAGGGACGATGATGTGACGATAATTATTAATATAGAGATGAGGAGGAGAATTATAATGATGATTGATATAGTAATGATGATGATGTGGATGGTGGCAATGATTATAGGCATCATAATGATGATAATTGCAGGGATGATGATGATTATTATTACTATGACAACGTAATTATGACTGTCATGTTAAAACGATTGTAAGAGTCTTATTACAATGTAGACTATAATGATGATAACTTATTTAAAGGATGATGATCATGACGATGATGACAACAGCGATGATGATAATGAAAGGGATGACGGTGAAGATAAAGTATTTTTTTGACATTGCAATAAAATCCCCGTCATCATCATCTCCAAACAAAATATCTAGCATCATTGATTTAAAGCTATCGCCGCACGGACCGTGAGAGGGCGGCGCTTTCTAAATTCCAATAGCTTTTTTTTCCTTCTCTCGCTTCGGCTTAAAATCCCGGCCCCCATGAAAACGCGAGACGCAACGCGGAATTCTTCCGCATGGCTTCAGCGTTTTAATTACACACGCGAGCGCCCTTTCCGCCGGCCAAAGTCTGCCACGGCCATCGCCTCTGGGTCCCGTCAGCCCTCTTAGTTTTCTCCAGCTGCGTCCCTACGGCGGAGGAGCCCCCCTCGGCTTCTCCCACGACCCGACGCTTCCACACGTAGCAAGCAGCTCGAAAAACACGTTGTCTCGGCGTGCACCCAAGTGGCCTCCCCGAAGTGCCGTAGCACAGTGAGACCGATTCATAACAAAGGTATAAAGCACAGCCGTTGCAACTGCTTGCTTACTCCACTGCTGGTGGAAGAGCCTCCCAGGAGGTTACACTTTGGCCTACTCTTCCACGTTGGCCAGATTTCTTGGAAGAGGTGGGAGTCGCCACGTGTTTCCCCGCCACACACGACCTGCCGATCAACTAACTGTGGTGGAACCCATTTCAGATGCTGCCACACCGGGAGATTGAACTAATCAACCCAGCAACCTCTGGATTGTAAGTCCAATGAAAAGGTGGACAAGTGGAAAGACAAATGTGTGGGAGGGTGGCTACATGAGTGAGTGGGTGAGCGGGTGAATGGGAAAGTGTGTAAGTTCCTGAGTGACTTGGCAAATTAATTAGTTGGTAAGTCAGTGGTAACGCTGCCACCTTTTCTCTTGGAGACCAAAACTGGGCAGGCATCTCAGTCGGCACCAGTTCTGTGATCAACAATGTGCAGTATCAACCAAACTTCGTACCAGATGTCAGTTCAAATGAATTCCTTTCAACCGAACACGGATGCCAATTCCTGGACCATCCCGGGGAAAAACCCAGATAAAGGGCAACCCTGATAACAGCACAACAGTATCCATAATAAAGAGTTTCTTTGGGGATTAGATCGGGTAAATATACACGTGTCCTTTACCTGTCACCACCCAACACAGGCAATTAGGAAGGTTTGCCACTTAAAAAAAAAACATCCCAATTAGTTCCTATTTCCGCACACCGGTTGCGTTGGAGAGTAAACCCAGTTGCCGCTCCTCCGCACGGCCGCTCGGTGACTCACTTGAGAGGCGGCAGCAGCACGACGCGGGCGCAGGCGACCGTGGGCTGCACCAGCACGCGGACGCTCAGCGGGACGCTCCGGCAGTAGCCGCTGCTCATCCCGGGACCCCCCGCGTAGCGAAAGCCCACGGAGAACTCCACGACCTGCCACGAGAAAACACGGAGGGCGGAATGGGGGGGGGGGGGGGCGCACATGAGCAAGCGGATCACCGCCGCTCGATCGGCACTCGCGGCCGCTGGAAAAGCAGTGGAAATTCCACCGTGCGGTCAAATGGTGGAGGGGTGGTGCCGCAGGATTAGGTTGCTGGCGCGCAAAAAAGCTTCCGTGGGAAAGGAGCGTTGATCTCCGTCAGCTGCCCGCTCAACGTTAATCCCGCCGTGACAATGGACAGACGAGGAACAGGGGAGGAGGAGGAGGATCAGACCGGGCGTTGTGCTGCCCGGAGCAGTTACGCATCCTGTGTAACTGGATGCGCGTTCCATTGAGCGTCTACGGCCAATGATCACGGTGATATATGGAAATATATTCGATCACAACTGCTCAGCACAGTCCGTAAGGCCCGAAAGGCCAAGCAGACAGTAACATAAATCACCATCAAATGTGTAACGGAATTTCTTGAATTTCTTGAGAAAAAGGTTAAACGATCATTGGGAAAATAGATGACGGGAGGGTATTTCCAACTTGAAGCTGTACGAGGGAAGAAGCAGAGGGATAGAGACGTAATATAAGCACAGAGCACCATCGACTGCAGGCTCTGTTAACTACGTTGACCCTGTGACATCACGTCAGGTGCAGAACAAGTGAAGGTGTACATTTAGGAGCGGAGACTTAGATTAAAAATCCTGGTGACACTCCTGACACAGAACCCCGGCTCAGTTCCAGGGCTGGCAGAGGGGCAGATCGTAGTTAATTTTTTTTATTCTTACAATCAGCCTGCGCTATCCTACGAGTCAACAAGTCTCATACAATGACTATATGACCAATGGTGCCATGCAGAGATGTGCTGCAAGCAGTGTGCCACATTGCTGTCATGTGATCAGTGGCCGTCAGAAACTATAACGCTTCACAAATACTCAACCTATGGGTTTACTTTACTTAATATCGGTCCTCTTAGGCGATTACTTTCCTTCGATTTGCCGCATATTTTTCCAATTTGAAAAACAAAAATGTCGATTCGTAATAAATAATTGTGTTTGGCGGACCAGATTACACAACGACACTGCAGCAACCAATGCCTCCTGTGAAATCCTCCAGAAAACCTCCTGCTCGACTCGTGGTTGCATCGTTCTCCATTGTCGAGTGAGATCTGACTACGATGAAAAATCATTTCGTTGTTGCCGCCGCTCACTTTGGGAATGAGCTCGCTTCGTGGTTTCAAATTAAATCCCTCCTCTCTTCCCCGGCCTTTTTTAATTCCATCCTTAATTCAAGACTGTTACGGTGCTGCCAGCTTTACTTGAGTGGTGCAGGGTTTAAACGTTGTTGTTGTTGTTTTCCCCGATTGTGTTCGCTACTCAGTGTCTGCAAAGTTTACAATTCATTCGCTGCTGCTTTTCACCAAGTTCCTCCGCATGTCATTCTTGTAAAACAGCTTGAGGCCGAATGTTCTTTCCCGCGTCGAAAAATATAATCCATCAGTCTGAAACTCTCTCCCATCTGCGACAAAGCACGGGCGTTTTGTTATCCACTGCTGGGATGACGGTCTACACTGTGCCTTTTGGTCATGGGAGTTGTTTGACCATACTTGACCGCACTGAGGGGATTTGCCCCCTGGACTGATTCGGATACCGCTCGCCACCTGGACGTGATTCGTGGGGGCAGGAGTCCAGCTCAGCTCGTCGGATTCACAACACAGTGCGCTAACCGTTGCGCCACCATTCCCCCTCATCGTCATCATCTGTCCTTTCCGTCAGCTCATTTGCGGCAATGGGGCCCCGAGTAAATTTCCATCATGGTTCTCTCTCTTTAAGCAAGATCAGCTGCTTCATTCCCTCTCCAATCATTCGTCTTAGAAATATGTTGCCACTGCATGTTCCCAGTTGGGCTGCCGTTGCAGCTCCACATGCGTGGGGCGCCTTCCTCTCTTCATTTTTTTTATTTCTACACTTTGCACGTCATTAGTTCGTGTGACCCTTGCAGCCACCAGAGGCGCTACAACGCACCGCATTGCTCACGCAAAACAATTACACTGGTCAACACACTTTTTTTTGGGTGTGCTGATTCCAAATCTGGCATCAGTTTTTGTCTATCACCAGGTTTTTGAGATATCAAATATTGCATTTTAAATAAAAACTGCAGAAGAAAAATATTAAATAAATGTGGATATCTACATAAAATGATATTATAAACACACTATCCTAAAAATACAGCACCATATTTTAACACTAAAGCAGGCACTGACTCGCAACAACTTGCAATCATAAGTGACAGAGTTAATTTCGGGTAAAATCAATGAAAATGGGGTATGCCGATAGCATAAAAATGATGTGATAGAGCAAATATGAGATCAGATTTGGAATCGGCACCCTGAAATAGTCTAAAACAGCTGCAAAAGTCCAGGCCAGAATTTTTTTTTTGTTGACCAGTGTTATCATCGTCCAATTGAAAATTGCATCGCGTCACACGCCGAAGGAGAAAGTGGGGCGGCTCGATTCACATCCTGAAGAAGCTGCCAGCCTGTGGAGCGAAACGTCGGACACTGTGGTTTGAGACCGGACAACACACGGCAAGGCACAACCTGAACACCTATCAGAAGAGGTCCGCTGTCATTGCGTCTGTCTTTCCACCCGGAGGTTTCAATCTTCAATTACGCACATCACATCCTGGGGCAGCTATTGTCACCCCTAGACATCTGCTCTTTGATTATACCTCTGTGGGACTTCAAGCTCTCAGGGGTCGAGGAGGTCAAGACTGAAGCACCGCACAAGACAAGTGCCAGGCACAAATAAAACCCGCACGGCAGGACCTTCAAACGGGAGCGGAAGATCGTGCACGGGCGCGCACACGCAAATGTCATGGTAGCCACCGTCACTCTCGCTTCAGAAAACCGGCACGGGCGGTGCAAAAACGCAGTGCTCTGTGCAACAGGCACAAATGCTTCAGGTGCCTCGTGCTGTGCTGGCGAATTCGATTAAATCGCACGAAGCCCTCCCTACCTTCCATTCTACTTTCTGTGTTTAATTCGTTGGCCTTCCCTCCCACACCTCCGATAAAGCCTCCTGTGAAAGCCTCCAGAAAACCTCCTGCGTACGGTGCGGAAGAAGAACATACGTACATTAAGTCATCAATGAATGGCAGGCGCTGCTTTTCATGCGCAAGCTGCGGATAGAAACGGTAAACACACAGGCCTGCAATTGGTTGCTCACGTCAATTTTGGCAATTGGACCCTCCGTAATTTGGAGCCTCAAGATGACACATCTAGAGGGGGTATTTGACCTACTCTTCTGCGGCCAAGTGGCCCGGTAGTAGAACGATGAGCGGCTTGCGATGGCAAGCGTTGTGGGTTCGTATCCTGCAAACGGGAAATGCGCACCACCTTGATACTCGTTTTGTTGACTTTCATATTAGCCAGATACTAAGTAACTAACTACGTTTATTTAACCAGGTAAAGCCCACTGAGCTCTGTAGCCTTTTTTCCAGAAGCGACCTGGCCACAAATGATAGCTCAATTAAGTGGCTTGGCATGTGGCAATTTATAGCAGCCAAATGAGCGACGGAACAGTGGGCGAACGCTATATACTGTACACTGGTACAAAAGAAAAACAAACGCGATAACTTTGCGCGAGTAGCTGGCCCCTTTGCAGGAACTTCTCGTGATCGCCGTGGTGGTGGTGGTGCGTCCATTAACAGATGTCGCCAAATCATGCTTCCTCTGTTTAAAAAGAAAAATTATCGCCAAACGATGCATTTCAAAAATAAACGCCAGCACCCGCGCGCCCGCAGCTGTACTTGCGTTTAATTTCACTCCAAGGTCCCAAGGGGCTACGTCATGTCGGCCGTACCACCGGCGATCAAATTGCACAAAAGCAAACACGGCGACTCTTTCCAATCCCCACTTCCCCCACCGCACCGCACATTGGTCCCATGCAAAGACCGTGCGATCAAATATTGACTCTTGCTCCAAAACAGACATTAAACTGCCAGGAGCAAGCGGTGATGCTGTAAGCTTCTTCTCAACTACCGCGACTAGCGGGATTGGCGGCTCGGACAGAGAACCAACGCGGTAGGGTAGGAGGACCAAAGCGTTCTGTCGGACGTGCGTCAAATCCCTTTTCTTCGGTGAAAGAAGGGGGGGGGGGTCAGTCTTATTTCAAGTTCAATCGAGTAAACTCAGAGTCACTCGAGTGGCATTCACAAGGAGACCCCACATCTGAGTGAACGCCTCTTCCCTATTCCTCAGTTTCAGACTCAGGTGTTCTAAAGCTGCTAGGGCGAATAGCGAGATATGCCAGAGGGTGAATTAGGGGTCCCCGTGATTCTTCTAGGTGCTCAGGTTGGTCTTTATAACCGAAATGTTAAATGTTTGGAGAATGGTGTGTTGGTGCCTGCTGATGCCTTCGGGTTTAAGGCTCAGGAGGGAGGATTCAATGCTAGGTTGTCTCTCGGTGCGAGACATCACGTTGTACAGATTGGTTCTTTTCTCATAGAATGTCCCGATGGTGGGACAGTCTCAGAAGGCGATAATGTAGGTTTGAATGCTGTCCGGCGGGCATCTAGGGCAGTCTGGGGATATGGTCTAGCAGAATTTAGCCATCCGTTGGTTAGTGAGATATGTGCTGTGAAGGAACTCAAACTGAATCGTTCTGAGAGGGAGAAATCTTAGACCTTGCCGGGGGTTGTGCCAAATTATATTCTTGGTTTTTTCGGAAAAGTCACGTAGAAGGGAAATAATAAAATAATAAAACATAATCATTATTATTTCCCTTCTACGTGACTTTACTGAAAGTACCAAGAAGTTGAATCCCTGCAGTCACGAAAGCTTTAAATCGAAATTGTGCCAAATTAGTTTCCAGGACTCATGGGATCGGGCAGCCCAACGCCCCTTCCCAAAGTGTCCTGGTTTTTGGTCTCACTTCAGAAGGGCCCGGAAGTGGGAGTTGGTCTCCCTCAGAGATTTTATAGTGGGCCCTCTTCTCCGTTAGCC